TAAGCTGAAGTCGCCTCGCAAAGGAGAGAGACTTGCTTGACCATGAACCATGCAATAGCGAACCTTATCAATCGGTGCGAGAACTTCACTTGTTTATTATTGTTTTCCTAATTATTGTTAAGTTTCTTATGTAAGAGGAACAAGTTGTAANATAATGTTAGGTTTATTTGATTTTGAGTATTTTGGATTAATTAAGAGAGAAAAAATGGTTGTGTCATTAAGATCCTGGTAAGTTTTATTGCTTGATTTGTCAACAATACAATATAAGAACACAACACACTAGTTTTTGCATTTAAATGTCGAGTATGGATTAACAACTTACTTTGCATAAACTGTAAAACTATCTTATTATATCCCTACGTATCTTATGTTGCTTATCACTAAGTTTATGTAAGAATACTCTCTTTTCTTCTAATCCATGAAGTTTAATGCTCTCTTCCTTTGTACTGAAAGCAATACGATGTATAATTATATACCATTATCATATCTGATTGGTAGAATACAAAAGAAAACTACATAAATAGAGAAATAACATAGTGAAAAACAGAGTAAATAACAGTTTAGCAAATAGCAAAACACACTTTGCTAACATAATCACATAAATTTGGATGATCGATCTATAACCCTATGAAAAGTTTGGATAAAAGCTATACTAACTTTAAAAAAAATAGTTTAAATCCAATAATCCAATACGCCAAAACTGAAGTGGATGTGCATCAAAGAACTGGTTTAAATCATTATGATGTAGCAACATATCTGAAATGTGTTTTAAAAGCTTATTATAAGAACCAAACCAAACCAACCTTGTAGTTTCTACATGAACACGCACGGAATCCATGTGATTGTCCCTTAAATACGTACTAACATAAAATAAGTTGTAAAGTCAAGTTATCAAACAAACCACAATTGTTTATTTAATCAAATCTTTCCAAGGCATAAATAAAAGGACAAAACATAAAGGATGAAGCCACAATTTAACGTTGTCGTCACTGGATCCATCCATGCGAAGAACATTCCAGGTTCCTCTAGAGGGATCAAATACACTGATGCAACCGTAAATACTGAGACAATAGAACATACCATTCAAGTAGATACATTTGTACGAAAAGCAATCTCGTAACGGGCTCTCAAGGCAATAGGTGGTCCATACAGTTTCACCAGGCCGCCAAGTATTGATAACATATGAGCTGAAACTTGTACAGTTGAGTGAGATCACCAAACAACTACTTGATGTAGGAGCGGCTGAGAAAGCGTAGCAATAATCGTAGGAATAGAGTGGCAACTTAGGTAAGTAGATGTGTTCCCGGGTAAACGGGTTAAGTAAGAATAATGTCCAGGGTGCATATTTTAGCACAAGCAACTAACCATCCATAAGAGAATCTATCCAACTTCTTCAACTCTGGAAAATTGAGCTTATACGTTTGAGACCGTGATGGGTGACAAAGAATGTAGTTTCGAACATACACGGCGGTCATCTCATCATTACAATTTCTAGATGTATAAACTGTTCTCATCAATGCAAAACTTGTTCAAAAGATGTAATGTCAAAGAAATTACATGATTTTTATATAGTGATAATTAATGATTTCGGTAATCTCAATGAAATGTATATTGATTGTCAAAGTGAACAACTTAAGTGGAAGAGAAACAATTGGTCAAATGAACAAAAGCTCAGATCCACGTCTTATCCTATTAGGTTTTTTGTATATTGGTTGAATAATGAATTAAATGACTAATCTTTTTCTTTCACTTTTTTGTTTAGAATAAATAAAGTTGTAAATGGTCACATAACTTTAAGGGTCTTTTTAATAAATAACCAAAAAAAAATTTTAAAAGTTGGGAAAAAGGGGGTATGTGGCACAATCTAGACCTTAGGATTTAGGTTTTTTGGTTAGTTTGTAAATTATAATTTTTTGTTGTATTAATGGCAAATTTTCCCGAACTTTAACTGAATTTGAAGGGAAAAAAACCTTTAATTTAGGTGAGTTGGTGGAATTTTTTTAGCAATTGGCTGAATACACATCATTTACAAATTTGGTGGAAAATTGTGATATTTTAAGAATTTGATAACTTACCCAAAATAATAAATCAAATTCAATTCAACTAAATCTGTTTAAATTTAATGATATAATTAAAAATTTAATGATATACTATTAGTGGCATTTTTGAAAAGATTTTAAAAAATGGTATTTTTTAAAAGTGACATTTTAAAAATGGTATATCTCAAAAATTTTCAAAAAGTAATATATATACAAATTAAAGTAACAGAAAATTATGAAGATAATTCAAAAAAATTATAAAAATAGACCATACATTTTATAACTAAAATAATAGACTAAAGTTTACATAATTACTCTTTTTTTACATGAGTTAAAGAGGATTCCAAATCCTTCTATGTGCGTTAAAGAATTTCAAATCTCAAAAAGAGAAAATGACTTGAAGTTGGTTTGTTATTAAGAAGAAGAGTATCAAAAGCAAAAAAGTGGTTAATATCGTGGAAACGGGTGAATCTACGGGAGCAGTTGAGTTTAAAGTGAAAAGGAAAAAAAACTTAGGAATCCAAAACATCCAAGAAGAAG